CGCTATGCGCGATCTTAGAATAATATAAAAACATCAGATTGATATTATATATTGACAGAATGAATGTCCAAAGTATTGAATTTTGAACCTCATCCACTTAACGGTATCTCGTAATATTTTAGACTTGGTAAATAGTATCAGATGATACTCATGTACAATAAAATGGTGTGCTTAGTGATCTCTGCGATGCGTAGAAGAATATAAGATGAGTAGATCTATATAATATATTGAGAGAATTATTGTCGAAAATTTTGAACATTCACATGAAAACATCAATCTTGATACGTGAACTCGGAAATATTTGGCTCGTTGAATAATAATAGATGTTATTTATGTTTCGATAAAAAATATTGGGTCGTTGTTATAAATTAAAAAATTGAGTCCATAGTGATCCCAACGAAGCGTAGAGTAACAAAGGACCCTCAGATCGAGAAAATATATTGGTACAGTGCCGAGAATTCTCAAGGAACCTATGTAAACGTCATTTCTTGCAGCAGTAAATAATTTTAGATCGTCAATATATTATAAAATTCTGCTCATAGTAATTACCGCGATGGGTTGAATAAGATAAGACCATCAAATAGAGAGATTATATTGATACGGTGAATATCGAGAATTTTTAATGACATCATGTAATCTTCATTCCTCGTACCGGAAAATCGAAATACTTCAGGGTCGATAAATAATTTAACATCGTTGTTACATAATAGAAAATTGTGTTCATAGTGGTACCGGGTATACGTAGAAGAGTATACGATCATCAAATCGAGATAATATATTGATTCAGTAAGTGTCGAGCATTTTCAAAGAACTAATGTAAACCACGTACCGGAAAACCGTAATACTTCAGGGTCGTTAAATAACATTCGATGGTCGTTATATATTATAAAATTGTGTTCGTAGTGACCTCCGCGATGCGTAGAAATATATAAGGCCTCCAGATCGGTATGATATATTGATAGAGTGGATGTCAATAACTTTGAATGGTCACATGTAAGCACCGAACCGTACCGGAAGTCAGTAATACTTCATGGTCGATAATTAACATCTAATAATTAATATCATCGATAATGAATAGATGATATTTATATACAAAAAAGTGGAATTCATTGAAAACTCCGGATTAGAATAGTGTAAGAACTTCTGATTGATATGATATATTAACAGAATTAATGCCGAAAATTTTGAAGTGTCACATGAAAGCCCCGAAACGTGGTGGTTCGTAAAATTTCAGGTTCGGTAAATAATATTAGACGATACTTATGTACAAATAAGTGAGGTTCATTGCAACCCCTGCGGTGCGTCAAATAATATAAGTTCATCAGATCAACGTGATTGACAGAATAATTGTCGAAAATTATAATGCTTCATATGCAAGACGAGCACTGTACCGAGAGTATGTAATATGTCAGAGTAGATTAGCAATATGAGGTCATATTTATGTACAAAAACTTGAGGTTCATTGTGAACCCCGGAATGCTTAGAATGAGGCTATGAGATCGATGTTATATATAGACAGAATGAATGTCGAAAGATTTGAATTGTTATATGTAAGCACCGAAACGTATAGGAAGACCATAATGTTTCAGTGTCGTTAAGTAATATTAGATGACACTTATGTACAAGAAAATTGTGTTCATAGTGATCGCCGCGATGCGTAGAGTAATATAAGATCATAAGGTACGATATACTGTCAGCATGAATGTCGAAAATTTTGTACTGTCATATGTAAACCTCTTTCCACGTACTGAATCACCATCATATTTCAAGAACGGAATATAATGTTAGTTGATAATTATGCACGATAATACGGAATGCTAATAGCGATCCTTCGGATCGAACGATCCTGCGTCGTAGTCGTGCACTTCTTCCCTAGTCGGAAGTGACGACCCGATGTGTTTCGGTCCACGGCTCGAACAGAAGAATGTCGCGTCCTTTCTGCACACGCAGCAGACACTCCGTCGCCCGGGTGGCTTCACTACAGTACTTACAAGGATGTACGGTTCCAGTGTCGTCCCCGGGCCTGGCAATCTATTAGCCAGCGGTGTCCGCAAAATCTCAGATTACCGATCAGTGACGCTATTGCTTTGGGCACTCTTAGGACCTATCTTGAAACACGGACCAATGAATCGAACATGTGCACGATATGATATATCTGCATATAAGTGCAAACTTATAGGCGATGATAAACATGAAAGTCGGCCTTTGCGCCGATCGAGGCAGAATGAGCTGCGTAACCATGAGGACCCGCATTCCCGTGGCGTCCTGTTGTCACTGCGAGAAGAGGCGCACTATAAGCCTACACGATGGGACCCAAAAGATGGTGAACTGTGCCTGGTAAGGTGAAACTCTGATGGAAGTCCGTAGCGTTTCTGACGTGCATATCGGTTGTCGGAACTGGGTATATGTGCGAAAGTCTAATAGAATGTACGAAAGTCTAGAGGCCCTGGGGGGCCTCAACTTGTTTTCAAACTTTAAATGGGAGGGATCTCTGTCTTGCTTGGAGCATGAAGCCACAAGATATATTTGAATCAGCGTGCCAAATGGGCCAACTTTGGTAAGCAGAACTGGCGATGTGGGATGAACCAAACGCAGAGGCCCCTATATCGACGCTTATGGGATACCATGAGAGGCGTTTGTTGCTGAAGACAACAGCGATATATTGGACGAGGATTCAGAGAACTAGCCAGAATACCCGCGAAATTATCCTTGGATACAAAATGTGACAAAGCAGGGAGTAATAGATAATCCACTAATAGAAACAAAAAACACGAAATTCTAATAGGAAACGATATTCATAGATCAGAATTCGCAAACAAATTTAACATATTAGGAAAAGAACATCTGTTCCATATCGTACCCGATTTCTTCCCTATCACAGAAGAAGGAATAATTGGCCAAAATTTCATTCCTATAGATATGCCCTAACCAATACTCATTTGATTTTAGGTAACAAAGGAATACCGCTTCGTACTAACGTGACCCTCGCACCAGGTGAGTGCCGTGTCAAGGAAGCACAAAATTCAAGGTGATGTAATCGAAATGAAAAACCCAAGTTCAATTGATATAATCAAAACGTTAGGAACTGAAATCAGATTATATAATGTAGAATCATGATTACAAGAATCATTAGAAAAATAATGCTCTGTCATTCAGCTTTTTTTCCATACACTCACCCTTTACCCTGCATCGACCTGACATTGAACTGATGTTAAAATTGATGTTAAAATCACCAAGCCCATTATTCTAAAATCATATTGACCACCTGAATGCCACCGAAATGAAATTAAACGATAAATTAACGAAATATTAGGTAAAAAGTAATAGAATCATCCGATAGTCTAAATAACGCACCAGTCTGGGTGCCCAAAAAATTAGACTCAACAGGCAATCGAAAATGACAAGTTGTTATAGATTTTAGAAAGCTCAATGAAATTACAGACCAGGACGCTTATCCTTTGCCCGACATACATACGATTTTGTTTCAATTCGGAAACGCAAAGTTCTCGACCTCAGATCGCTCATCCGTAATTCATCAAATACCGATGCACCCAAATTCAAAATAATAAACTGCTTTTTCAATCCCCGAAGGACATTTTCAGTATAATCGAATGCTGTTGGAAATAAAAAACGCCCCCGCAACTTTTCAACGACTGAGGTATATAGCACTGAAAGGACTAACTGGCAAATAGTTTCATATATCTTGACATAATTATTTTTGGACAAACGATAGAAGAACAACATACGAATCTAGCAATAATTCTCCGACTGACAGAATTAAATTTGAAGTTACAAACGGATAAATATGTTTTTTAAAAACATGGTATAGGATATTTGGGCCACGTTATTAGTAAACGTGGAGTAAAACAAAATAAAAAAAAAATGGAAGCTGTAAAAGAATTTAGACCACACAGTAACCTCAAAAGTATTAAACATTTCTTAGGTCTAGTCAGTTATTATAGAAAATTCATTCGAAAATTTGCAAAGATAGCTATTAAACTATTATCGAAATTAACAAAAAAGAATGAACCTTACGGATAGACTGGTGATAACTTTTGATACACTTAAACTTATGTTATGTGAGGAACCAGTTCTGAAATATCCTGACTTCAATAAAAAAACTTGTACTAACTACCGACGCAAGTAATGAGGGATTAGGAGCAATACCCTCTCAAGACAGATATTCCTGTTGTTATATATCGCGGACACTTAATGACGCAGAAACATATTATACGACAACTGGAAAAGAATTCTTAGCGGTAGTCTTGACTGTACAACGACTAAGACAATATATGTTAAGACGAAAGTTTAAAATTAGGACAGACCACCAAGCACTAAAATGGTTATATAATGTCAAAGACACATCTTCAAGGCTAATTAGGTGGAGACTTAGATTAGAGGAATACGAATACGAAATAGAATATCATAAAGGAAAAGATAATCTGGCCGCTGACGTGTTGTCACGAATAAACATTGCACAAGACAGAACGATCTTGAAAGACAAGGTCACAAAAGAGTTCCTCGAATTAACACATCAGACGACAGAATTGGTAGCAATGACGAGGCCATGGGACAGAGTAATAAAGCCGACTTCGAAAATTATATTGAATTTTTAGTCAGGCAAGAGACCCATCGTATCTTTAAGGAAATAGTGAATCGGTACTGACTAAAACAAATTGATGGGTTAGAAGTAGATTGCACTAGAGAAATAGAGTTATAAGCAAAATTAAAAGAAATAACTAAAATCTACACACAAAGAGGAATATTAGATCATATGTTTTTAGAGAAACTCGTAGAACAAATCAGTAAAATATTATAGTACTTAGTATTTAAAGACCCTAATAGAAATTACACATTCTCACGCAAATCAATAATGACTGACGCCCACTGACGAACAGACAAAAGAACAAATAATCAAGGAAGGCCAAAATTCAGAAATTCAATATTTTGGAGAAAATAAAACTATAGCAAGAATCAAAGAAAAATACTACTGGTCCAACATGAACAAGGAGATAAAAGGTATGATACGTAAATACGAGATTTGTCAATGTGAAAAATGACGAGAACTAGACTCAGAGAACCAGCTTACATCCCTGACACCACCTAGAGACCCAACTGATAAAATAGCTATGGACATATACGGACCATTACAAATGACCAGCAAAGGTAAACAATGTGTATTATCAATACAAGATGCCTTAACCAAATATCTTATCCTTGTACCGCTTCCCAATCAACAAACCCAAACTATAATGGAGAAATTGATGGATCATTATATTTATTTTTCACACTCAAGGCAATACTAACAGATCAGGGCGCAAATTTTGTGTCAAAATTGATGATGGAATTTGAAGAAGCTTTTAGGATAAAGCATATTAAAACCACTAACTTCCTCCAACATGGCAATGGCTCCTTTGTACGTGCACATTCCTTAATAGGAGATTTAATGAGGACTTGTACTGAACACAAAGGTGGAAAATGGGACGAGATATTGAACCTAGATTGTTCTGGATATAACACTGTAATACATGAGGATAGAGAATGTACACCTTTTGAGTTGATTTTTGATAGAAGGGCCAACTTGCCCAGTGCAATAGCTGCAACTACTGCAATGAGCAAGGAAGAAATATTTCTTTTATGAAAACGTAGTCACGAGTTGTATTTAACTAGAGCCAAGGTAATAATAGAGAAAAGTAGAACTACATATAAAAGAAATCAGGACAAGGAAATTAAATTACAAAACGTGTTTAAAGTCAATGATAGAGTTCTAATGCATAACGATCATAAAGGGAATGAGTTGGATTCCGAATGGTTGGGACCATATATTGTCGATGAAATAAAAAATTACATCTGTAAAGACCCTAGGGGAATACTTATTAAAATTCATGGTAATAGGTTAAAAACATTTAATACTTGATTTCAAATGAAGAAGCTCATTATTGGCAACATTAACACTAGTGATAAACGAAGAAATTGAGCATA